CAAGGGGTTTTAAATGCTCATAAATTAGAATGCAATTTAATATCTATTAGCAGACTCACTAAGGATCATAACTGTGCCGTAACATTTTTCTTCGATTTTTCTGTGGTATAGGACTTATCAACGAAGAAGCTGATTGGCATGAGTAAACTCTATGATGGCTTGTACGTGTGGGAAGATGTATCAAATCAACGAATGGCTTTGGCAACAAAGAGAACTCATTCGGTGATTGTTTGGCACCAACGGTTGGGACACACGTCATAAGGCAAGCTTCAACATCTACCGATGGTGAATCATTTGGACATTTCGAATAAACTTGGCCATTGTGATGCATGTGTGTGAGCCAAGCAAACTAGATTACCATTTGCATTAAGTACAACAAAGACAATCTATCCTTTTGAGTTAATTTATTGCGATATTTGAGATGACTACAAGACTCCAAGTTTATCTGGGGCACATTACTTTCTCACCATCGTGGATGATTTCAGCCGAGGTGTTTGGGTTTATCTCATGCGCCACAAGTCAGAAGTAGGTGAATTATTGCCAACGTTTTGCAATATGGTCAAAAATCAATTTGGGATCACCGTTCAACGGGTTCGATTAGTCAATGGATTGGAATTCAAGTCCAATAAAATACAAGATTATTATGCCACTGAATTTATCTTACTCGAGAGCTCATGCACCGAAACCCCAAAATAAAATGGAGTGGTGGAACGTAAACATCAGCATATCTTGGAGGTAGCCCGAGCACTTCGCTTCCAGTCTGGATTGCCAATCAAATTTTGGGAAGAATACATACTTACCGCTGCCTACATCATCAACCTCCTTCGCTCAAAGGTGCTCCAAAATCGTACACCATATGAAGTCTTGTTTGCTCGATCACCCACTTATGATCAAAAGGGATACAAGATATATATCTTGAACACTAGCAAAGTCATCATCTCAAGAGTTTTCATTTTTCAAGAGTCGCTTTTTCCATTCCAAGAGTACCCACAATCCAACCGACCTTCTCATTCCTCGCCTCAACAACCCATACATTGTGATTGGGCTTCCTACCCAATCTCATCATCAATAGAGCCGCACCATCTACCAACGACCACCTTGGCAACCATTGCGCACAATCCTCCATCCACAATTGACATGTCCCCAATCGCTTCTGACCAAGTCACACCCTTTGGTTCGGTTCCCTCCATCAGGTCCGATGGGAACCTATGCAATGCCGAAATCTCACCAACTGTCTCTATTAATCAAGAACAAGAAGCAGTAGTCACAGCACCAGTGCCATCTCTTCGTCGTAGCACCCGTGCTCGCCAAAACTCCATTAAGCTTGCCAATTTTGACACGTCTCTCCCTCCGTCACTTGCCGTCATCGAGTCTACTACTCCACTCACTTTTTCTAAGGTATACCCTGTAGCCAATTATGTCTCATATAGTCGTTTTTCATCACCTCACATGACTTTTCTCTATGCCATCTCCCAAACGGATGAGCCTCAAACCTACAAACAGACAGCCATGTATTCTCACTGGCGAGAGGCCATGCAAAGAGAAATAATCACGTTGATGGCCAACCATATTTGTGATTTGCAATCACCCCCTGAAAACAGGCAAATGACTGCCAATGGGTTTATAAAATTAAATTTAAACCCAATGGTGAGGTGGATCATTATAAAGCACGACTTGTTGCCAAGGGCTTCACATAGATCATCGGCATTGACTATCACGATACCTTTGCCCCCGTTGCCAAGATCGTCACGATTCGTTGCTTGATTTCCTGTGCTGTGGCTCGTCGTTGGAGCCTCTACCAACTTGATGTCAACAATGCATTTCTCAATGGTGATCTCCAAGAAGAAGTTTACATGAAAGTTCCCCAAGAATTCAGTCACCCAGGGGGTACACGAGTTTGCCGACTCCGGTGGTCACTCTATGGCCCCGCCAAGCCTCTCGCAACTGGCATGCAAAATTCACCACATTTCTTCTCCAACAGGGCTTTCAACAGTCTCACGTCGATTACTCGTTGTTTACAGCCACGAAGGGAAGTTCTCTACTTCTCGTCCTCATCTATGTTGATGATATCATTTTGATAGGAGATAATGACGAATTCATCGCCTATGTTAAGTCAAGACTTGATACCGATATATATCAACATCAAAGACCTCGGACCCCTCAAATACTTCCTTGTCATCGAAGTTGCTCGCTCTCCAGGTGGATTGGTTCTTAGTCAGCGGAAATACACTCTCGACATTCTTTCTGTTAGTGGTCTCACTGATAGCTGCCCTAGTGCTTTCCCCATCGAACAACATCACAAGCTTGCTCTGGCCGAGACTCCACAACCGCCAACAACAGATCGTCAGAAACCTATTCTCCTTAATAACTAGATAAAGCAAGATAATGTTTCTTTCCTTTCCTTATGCACCGACAGCTGAAACTTTCTTTGTATAAATTCCCTTGTGTTTATGTACATTCAAGCAAGTGATTCAATACAAAACAGAACACTTGTTTCAATTGAGCAAAAGCAATTACTTGTCCCGCAGTTGGCACAATGTTAAACATCGTTCACCTGCCGCCCATACCAGACCTTGTGATTAACTCCTCCGAATCATATAATATCTCTCTAAGCTAAGTACTGTCATGTGTCATCTGTCACCTTCCTATAACCTCATGATTTGCTACTTCATAACCAAGCCCACCGCCTTTTAACCAAATACATTTCCATTAGTTTCAAACTGCATAATCATCAGCAGCTAGCTAGCTAGCTGTATAAATCCATAAATAGGAAAAACGCAGCTGAACCGGCAAAATGGGTTTCCGATTCCTTCCTGACCAGCACTTGATGATGTTCTCTTTAATTTCTTGGTTGCCGCTTTTGCCGTCGCCTCCATTAATAGCTGTTGCCAAAGATTTCATGGTTGGTGACGAAGTTGGGTGGACCAACGTAACCTGGGGCCGTCGGCAACGACTTCCACGTCGGGGATAGGCTTGGTCAGTACAACCTAACTAGCTGTAGCATTGAATTCATCAGCTTTGATTCTTTTGACATTTAACTAGCCACGAGCCCACGACTGTTTGTTTTCAAGTATTACTTATCGGTTCCTACCGATGATAATAATAATAATAATAATAATAATAATAATAATAATAATAATAATAATAATAATAATAATAATAATAATAATAATAATAATAATTACAGTTTTCCGGTACCCCAAGGGCTTCCACAACGTTTTCAAGGTGAACGGGAACGACTTCCAGAACTGCATCGTCGTCCCGTCCAACAGCAGCGTCAAGCTGGATTCTGTAAACGACGTTGTTACGCTGTTGATCCACCAAGGCTCCATTTTTCGACTTCAACTTTTGATAATCATGAAATCGTTTCCTTTTTACTATGGAGTCGTCAGATCAAAAAGGTTTTACATGGAATTGGTACAACTACATTTTAACAATTACTTTTGTGGCTCAAGTACTAAAAGGTTTAGATTTTCAGTTTTCTACTCTTCAAGTTCCACGTTTTTTCGTTTGCGTCATTGAATTCGTATACCAACGCTAAAAACCGAAATGTACTTATGCTTAACCAACTTTTAAATGCAATTAACTAGCTAGGCCACATACATGCATGGCAGTATAGTATACTCTTGGCTAGCTATTAAACTAATCAAACACAACAGCTTTAGCCCTTGTGATAATAAGAGAGTGACCAAATGATAAACGGCCAGACCTAATAGGTGAGATTACTTTTCTTTTTATAATTTTTTACCTTTGTAATCGCTTAGTACGTTCTTTGCTTTTGGAAATGATAAAACGGTTTTGTTCGCGACAGAGTAACTCTTGCATTTTGTAGTTAAGATAAGTGAATACAGTAGTTTTTTTCTTCTTCTTAGTTTCTGAACTTTCTTCCTTGAAGCTCTGAATAATTTGGCCGACTGGGCTAATTAATTGGAGATTTGAATGGAAGGGGAAAAAAAAAAAGATGAAAGAAGTGAAAACAAATCATATGCTTATGAATGAAACTAAAGCTGCTGGGCTAATTAATTGGAGATTTGAATGAAAGAAAAAACAAAGATATATGAAAGGAGTAGGCAGGACGTCGTTATACCGAGCTTATTAAATGGAGATTCGTTTTGAATTATTTAGAGAAAGGAAATAAATGCAACGTTAATGAAGCCTAGAAGGTGAGAGTGACCTTTCGAGAAGTGACGCAGGCGCATAAGGTCAGAGGAGGAAGTGTGAGTGTGTGACCATTTGTATTGTACGTGCATGTGGGATTTGATTTGATTATTTCTTTGACAATATCCATGGGATTGGTAATGAACGGATTTCCAACTAAGAATAAATAATGGATATACTTGTTCTCGAGTAGTTGGGAGGAATTCAATTATGTATCATATATTTATTAACACACTCCCTTAACCAATAACGACGATATATGGGCTTGAAGTTTGTACAAGTCCGAACACTATCTGCATAACAAAAACTATGTGGGTCACTGTGATTCGAACAGAAGACCTGTCAGTCACAAAAGACTCGAGCGGTCTTTTGTTAGATCTCAATGACACTGATATGTTGTGTTAGGATTATGGTGCCCGGACATGTGTAAACTTCAACCCTATATGAATAACGCTTTCGTTTGAGGGGGTGTATCAGTAAATGGTATATGATACATAATTGAATCTCTACCAAGACCAACTGCTTATTGACACTTTTTCCCTGTATAATGGATGTGGAAAATCTCACCAATGAATCTTCACACCAGCATTACACTCAGCTATGAGTCTCAGAGCTACTCAATCGTATATCATCATTTCCTTTCGCTGAAATACGTACGTTCTCCCCTTGCTTCTTTTAGTGAATTAGTATCCAGTAATTAGGACAGCTACGTACCCACATATAATAAGAATCCTCAGTTAGTTTAGGCAATACATTAACCGGCTGTGACAACTCACCCTCTTGTACTCATAACAAATCTCACTTCTATAAATTGGGCCCTTCTCGCCCGCATCTTCTAAACAGTACCCCAGCCTACTTGTCTCAACTCTCAACCATTAATGGCTTCCCAACCCCTAGTATCTCATCATCAGGCTTTGCTAGCGCTTATGGTTCTGGCAGTGTTAGCCTCCAAAACTTTCGCTACGGTGTTCATTGTGGGTGGCGATCAAGGCTGGCGGGCACGCGTCGACTACGCCGTCTGGGCCGAGGGCAAGGTGTTCCGCGTCGGCGACAAGCTTGGTGAGCCCACGTCGATCGATCACGATCACGTAGCTTAATTACTCATACGTGCCTTCCTTAAACTCTACTGTTTGATGAATGTTTTGGTACTGGCCATATATGCATGCAGTTTTCAAGTACCCCAAGTGCTTCCACAACGTGGTGAAGGTGAACGAGTATCAGTTCCAGAAGTGTAGCGCCCCAAGAGGGGTGAAGGCCCTAGCCACCGGGAACGACGTCGTCGAACTCAAGACTGTTGGGAGGAACTTCTACATTTGCAGCGTGGGCAGGAACTGCGCCGATGGCTGCCAGAAGCTTGTGATTGATGTGAAGCCACATCATGGAACAGCCGGCCATTAGGCGGCATTAATAAGCTAAGCAAAGCTAAGCTAGCTAGCTAGTGCTTTTGTTATGGCTGGTTGCCCGGTTGTTGAGTGTTGTTTGTGTGTTTCTCAGTGAAACAAATATGGGAATGGCTTGTAAGTCTATCGGTTAGGGAGATCTCCATCTAAGTCAAGGCTTTGTAGTGTCCAAGCAAATTATTATATAATAAAAGATAATGTTACGTTGTTTTTACTTTGTCGTTGTATCAGAGCGACGCCCACATTAGTGTAATCTTATGAGACACGCGGCGACATTAATGTTAGAATTAAACCTTATTCCATGTAATTTCCCGAAATACATCTTGTCAGATTATCAAAGGTTATAGGAATACCTGGATTTATTGTAGATCATCTCGATCTTGATGCGGAAACCGGTGGATTATCTTTGACCGGACGATATGGTAACAGCACAACCCAGGAGGTTTTGTCAGTCTTCCTCAACCAAGCCGCCTCAGTTCCTTTACGGGAGAGCTCTCATCTTCCTGATGGGGAGAAGATGAGATTGTTTGGTCTTGGTGTATTGGGGACCACAACCTCAAGCTCCTTATATACTAGTTCCCCATGGGCTCCCATAAAACACAAGGTGATCAAGTAATGAGTTTCCACCCATTGGACCCATATTGGACTTGAGTAGTCATGAGCCACATAAAATAGATCACTTAATTTAGCTCATCTAAGCAAATAACAAATATAGTATGTTTGTAAATTTATGGCCCACACAAGTTAGGAAATGAATTTCCTAACATTCTCCCACTTGGGCTATCAAATTTTCACACACACGTATATTACAAAATTCTTTAGGCGCGCAACCGTATGTTATTCGTACAATGACTACTCCTTAACAATCCGGTCCACCTCATGTATCAAATGTTGAACCAACACGGCTTTAATCACGATATGATAATGATTAAACCACCATGATCACCACACCAGTACACTCAATGACATAGATCAAATATGGATGAGTGGCATGAAAATTACATGCAATGTGATCTTGAAACATGCCTATTTTCAACTGGTCCTACTTTAGTCCTTATTGCGATCAACTGAAATTCCTTCATACAATGTGACCACTGTATAACTGAAGGCACTTTAAATTCCAAAATAGACTCTAGAAAACCATCACTTTATTCTGTAGAATTGATTCAGTCATAATTTATTGAACTACTTAAATGACTCCCACTAAACCAAGGTACCATCCGTAATTAATAACACTCATGCGAGCTATATGCTCATGGAAAAACTTTAAGTGTCAAACCTTTGGCTAATGGATAAGCTAGCATTAGTCATATCCTTAATGTCCAACAGAAACTTGTCTATTTTGAACTTTATATTTAACCATTAGGAACTTTATGTCAATAACCTTTGACTTCTGAATCCCATGGTAATGATAGTGTATCACTATCAAATCATTGTCACTATTAACCTTTCAATGACTTACCAAAGTCATTATAGGGACAAAATTTGCAACCATAAATGGAAGCATCAAAATATGCTTTAATCTCTACCTAACACATAAGTGTCACTTAATATAGAGTTCATGCTATTTTGACCTTCTATAGCATCGAAATCAGAGTACCCAATGATCTCTAACTTATCTGATCCGATAATTAGCATGCATTCTTTTATCGTCTTTAGTAAATGCCTTATACGTTTGATTCTTTATAACATTTCATGCATAAATAATTACCCAAATATATGTCAAATACTCTTAACCATAAATGCTATATTGGGATGATAATTAACTAAACTGGTTGAGATTCAACTGTCTCCTTTAGCTACAACACATCTCCCGGTTTACTAACTTTTATGTGAAGTCTACTTAAACCTTATCGATGTGACTCTTTTGAAATTGAGTATACATTGAGAATTTATCTCTCAGTATCTCAATACCGAATACAAAAGAGGCGAGACCAAGAGCATTTAACTCAAATTTCATTTTTTATGAAATTTCTCGATCTCGTGCATTAAGCATATATCGTTACTTGAAAGTAGAACAACAATGATGTATAACACAGGAAAATGAATTTACTCCCACTGAACTTAAGATATACACAATCATCTCCAACATTAGTCTCTAAATCCGAATGAGCTAATAACAAAATGAATTTGTGATATCAATAATGAGAAGTTTATATGAGCCACCATTGCCATCATATTCCTAAAAGAGTCTTTCAAAATACCGAGGAAAGTCTCTTGTAGTCAATGCTTCCTTATGAGTAAAGTCTTTAGAGACCATCGTGCCTTATATATCTCTTTTACTTCACCCCATAGCATCAATCCACTCTTCATAACTAGAACTGTGCATGACTAGAATAATATGAACCTGATCATTAGTCAACCTGACGTCATCCTTATGTTCAAAGAAGAGACAACTTCTTTGTGGATATCCTAATTGATGGCATTTCTTGAGTTTGTTGAGTTTGTACAGTAACAACATTTCCATATGGTTCCTTCCCCCCCAAAACTAAATATACTCAAGAAATTTCTCATTTCTCATTAAAAAAAAAACTTCTTGATGTGAGATTATAAAACTTGTAGCCTCGAGAGTGCTTTTGAGTAGCCAACAAGGTATAAGTTAATTGTATCCTTTTGTCCATTATACCTTTTTGTACCTTATAAGGTTTTCCTGGACATCTCTAAATGTGCAAGTACCTTATTGCACGTATTAGTTACATTAACTACTTTATGGATACTCAATTTAAGAATGTACGTTGTAATCTTTATGACTTTTATCCAAATGGAGTATAGTAAACATAAATGCACAATTATACTCCTCGCCATATCACTGAGAGTTCAACAAATCACAACATCCTTAGCTCTCTCTATTTGTGCCTTTTACTGAGAATCTGAACAAGTCCAATCTTATTTCGTATCTTCCCTCCTTTTCTTTTGGGAGTAATAGCACTCACTTGAAATTTCAAGGAGGAAGATAAATTAAACCAAGTGTTGAGCTTGTCTTTTGACAACTCTAACTTTAGTCACTTGATTTTAATGCGACATAAGACACTTCAAAATATAATACGCTTGTACATTTTGTCTTTAAACTTTATGGATTAAATTACCCCAATAGGTAACTTACCCCCCGATCATTTATGTTTGGCAAAATATTGTATTATTACTGCAATGAACCTTACAAATGCATGTCTCAGTAAATGATCCCCAAAATTATTCATTGAATAAAACGCTTATATCATCAAGCACACTTAATTGGAGTAATTCCTACCTATTTAAATCTCATTGAGATTTTCCGTAGTAGAGTAGGGATTATTCCACACAAAAGCGCAAGATTAAAGCCCATATCTTGAGAATAATTTTCTTGATTTTACTTTAAATTCGTTAATTCATCCCTTTTAGCAGAAGAGTTAACTTTAAATTTGGCATAAATATTTGAAATAAGGCATGAAAACTCTACAAAGATAAAAGAAAACACACATCATACCATGTAATAAAACAAGACAAGAATCTTATCAAATTTTGGGGAACCCATCATAAGATACCAAATGCAACATTAATTCCTAGTCTTTGGACAGAGAAATTAACTGCGAGCGGTACTCTTAATACAATGATCAAATACTGATAATAAGTTCCGTCAATCAACAGTCTATCTTTGGACCGACTGTTATTCACATGAACATTAACTTTATAATTATCACGTATTTATCATTAAGGTGTTTGATTACTTGGTCAGTTAGTGTCGTCCTTTGGGTCGATCACTACCCACATAAGTAACCTTACACGTACATCCACGTATTCTAGGTTAAATAATTTTTCGCAAGTAGAGATTACTTTGGCAACATACTGCTAAAATTAATTTAATTAAAATATCGGACAATTCTCTCATAATCACAAAATATTAATAAGTGATTAGTTACCATTAAGAGAGAATTACAATATTAATTTAAATAAAGGTTTACTCCATCCCGAGACACAATGCACTCCATTAATATTTGTCTTAGGACAAAATATTAACTTGTAACTTGTAAGTAATGTCTTATGATCGAGTAATTAAATATTGATGATAAGAACATGTGATAGTTAATCTACCTTTGGGCTGATTTAACATTCATATGCGAACCAAATAATCATCACATATTTATTACTATGTGCGCGCATATGAAACCTTAAATATTCACCTACCTTTGAGCCGGTGAATACATAATTTGCATGCACTATGTAAACCTTTGCCGTATAAGGATTAAGATTTTCAAACCGAGCCCCAAACATTGGTTTACTGAAATGAGGAATATATTCCTCATAAACTAGTCTTGTTTACCAAACAAATTACGAGGCATGAAGTACACAAAGTAACTGTCAAGTGCATTTTAATGATCCAACGATCATCACGCAACGGAAAATGCACCAATAAACGGAAATCTGTATGGCTAGTCATAAAATTATAGTCAAATTTATTATTGCCTTACACATTATTGTTGCATTACTTATAAGAAGAATGGCGTTAACCAAACAATAACCATTATCGGTAACTTGCAAGTTTAACCCCAATAATTACTCAACCAAACCGGAATGTTATTGCAAACATATAATAATAATAATAATGCAAAATGCACTAAGAAGTTGCTTCCTTAATGGCAAGATAATTACTATTATAATTATTATGCTTATGACAAGGTCACCATAGCTTGAGGTAGGGGTCGGATACTATGCTAACCCCTAAAGGGGTAGTGGTTTTTGACACCCTCCTCTTGATTGGTCACTTTTCCATTTAAGCTTTTTACTTTATTTATTGTAATCTTGTAAATTGGGAAAGCCTTAATTGTGATAATAATTATGAATGGGGAAGGAGAAAAACGTTGGTAATTATGAATGGGGAAGGATCTGGGGAAAAACGAAATCACCCCCATTAATTACATAATTAATTTCTCTCACTGGTACATTAATTACACGTACCAATCCACTGGTACACGTACCACTCCACTGGTACACGTACCACTCCACTGGTACATGTACCAGTGGAGTGGTACGTGTACCAGTGGAGTGGTACGTGTAACCATATGTCCTGTTTAGGCTTAAAAAATTGTGAAGACTTTATGTTTATTCATTGTTATGAAAAATATCATTGCACTGGTATTGTTCTCACTCTAACCTACCTTGTGGATTGCTCGCACCAGTGGAGTGGTACGTGTACCAT